CCAGGAGGGGCGCGGCGGGGCCCAGGAGGGGCGCAATGGGGGGGGGGGGGGCCCAGTAGGGGCGCTACGGGCCCAGGAGGGGCACTACGGGCCTAGGAGGGGCGCGACGGGGCCTGGGAGGGACACGACGGGGCCCAGGAGGGGCACTACAGGGCCCAGGGAGGGCGCGACGGGTCCCAGGAGGGGCGCTACGGAGCCCAGGAGGGGCGCGACGGGGCCTGGGAGGGGCGTTACGAAGCCCAGGAGGGGCGCTACGAAGCCCAGGAGGGGCGCGACGAGGCCCAGGAGGGGCGCTACGGGGCGCTACGGGGCCTGTGAGGAGCGCGACGGGGCCCAGGAGGGGCGCTAAGGGGCGCGACGGGGCCCTGGAGGGGCGCTACGGGGCCCAGGAGGGGCGCGAAGGGGCGCGACGGGGCCCTGGAGGGGCGCTACGGGGCCCAGGAGGGGCGCTACGGGGCGCGACGGGGCCCTGGAGGGGCGCTACAGAGCCCTGGAGGGGCGCGACGGGGGCCTGGAGGGGCGTTACGAAGCCCTGGAAGGGGGGCGCGACGGGGCCTGGAGGGGCGCTACGAGGCCCTGGAAGGGGCGCGACGGGGCTAGGGGGAGGGGTCGCGACTGGGCTCAGGAGGGGCGAGGCGAGGCTAGGAGACGCGACGGGAGGAGCGGAAGCGGTAGGTGGGGGGGGGGGGGGGGGGGGGGGGGGGGGGGGGTCGAAACCTACTCGTGATACCATATCAAACCTAGAATTGAATAATGTGAGAGAGAGAGTACACAAACATATACCTAAATGTTGTACTCTCTAGAAGGTGACCCTATACAGTCTATACAAACATGATAACTACACATGTTTGACAATAGTACCTCAGATACGGTACCGTAATTCCCCGCATCGTGTACCCCCCGAGATTCAACACACAGTGGGTGTTTGATTCCGGTGGGTGTTATTTTAGATTCCCCATTGAGAACACCCGGCAAATTGAATTTTGTAAAATTCATAACATCCCCCACATTTTCCAAGTCAAAAGTAAAGAGCAAAAACTTTCGCATTCGCACTAGCCCACATCGCGCACTAATCCACGGGGAATCTAGAGCGACATGTATGAATTCTCAGAGTAACAAAATTCGACTAGAATAGAGGGTATGTAAGGAACTTTCTATTCCTTACTGAGCGTTACTGCAATCGCGTACGCTCGAACGCACCCGAAGCCTCGGGATGGTTCCGGACCTTTCCGACAGAATCACCTCGGCTTCTCCAAACCTTCTGTTTCGACCTTCGGGAGTTCTCCGGGCCTCGCCTCGTCACTTCGAGACCCTTCGATCTCTTTCCCGAACCTTACCATCGCATGGTAAGACTAGATTGTGAAAGCTTGCTTAGGTCCTCTTGAAAGGCAGCGTGCTTCATTTCATATGGGGGACATACATTGGTTCTCGTCCAATAAACTACTCAACACATAGCTAGGGTGGTTGGGCGGGGAAACTCAAATGAGTTGAACTAGAAATGAAGAACGTGGGTGAGGCCGAGAGGCCTCACGTTCCTCTTTTGAATGCAAAAGAGGGTTAGGTGCGCTTCGCTGCTGCCTTTGCTGCGTTGGCCCTTGCTACACTATCACAATACACATTTTTAGAAAGCGCTACACGCTTTCAAAAAATTACATATTGTGAAAGCTTGCTTAGGTCCTCTTGAAAGGCAGCGTGCTTCATTTCATATGGGTCGTCTGAGGCATGTGGAGGACGGGTCGGCGTTGCCGCTCCATGGACAGCTGGTGGTTGTTGGGCGATGGGGCTGCGGATGGATCTTGAAGCTGCGTGGAGGCTGCAAGAAGGTGGTCTTGCGCGATAGTGACGTATAGCTCCTTCGCACTGTCGCTGCGCCATCGGCCTAGACGCTTGAAAAGCCTGTCAGGTATCCCCAAGCAGGCCGCTGCGGTCGCGGCGCCCTTGCGGAAAGAGTGGGTGCCGAGATTGGTGGGGTCGAGGCTTGCTGCGGCAAAGGCTTCCAGACACCAATTCCGAATGGTTGTGTATGAAGGTGCGGCGTCCCGTGGGGTGGCCTTGCCTCTGGTCGCGAAGACGCGAATCAGAGGCCCGTGTGGGGTGGCGGTGTGGCCTGCAAGGTGAATGAAGCGCCGCGTGCAGCTGACGGGGCAATAGGGTGTGGTTGTGGCGGCAATGGGGACCCAGGTGCCTTTGCCTTCCTGATCCGTCTTGGAGTGTGGGATCAGGACCCACATTGCCTTGTCCTCAAACTATAAGTCATTCCACTGGATGTTGACGAGGTCCGAGTAGCGTAGGAATGCTGCGAACATGAGCAGCGGGATGAGACCCTTCTGGTATGTGGCTGGGTTAGTCGATTCAAGGAAGGGACGGGCCATAGTATGGACTTAGTGGAGCGACAAGGGTTCCTTATTCCTTGTGGGGTGTGCCCCATGGTGCTTGGCAATTCGCATACTTGTACCGTGAAAGGGCCGTTCGTGGGGGAGGGTTCGCCAGTCATCCGGTGTGCGAAAGAGATGGCAGAGCATGTGAGGGATATGGCAGAGGCGGTTGCTTGGTGATTGAGCGCGTGAACAAGATAGAGCGCCAGGGTCGTGTCCGTGACTGGCAGATAGCCGAGCTTGAATTGCGCGCAGAATGAGAGAAATTTCTGCCAGTACAGGTCATAGTGGAGGGCGCCCGGACGTGGGTGGTTATGCGCAGTAATTGTGTCTTTAACTTCGACAGCATGCCTGAAAATATACACCATACATGGAGGAGTTATATCTTGCAGGTTACATGCAAGGAAATCATCTGGCTATGAGGCAGGCCTTGGCCGGCGAAAGCGAGCGAGTGTGTGCCAGGGCGGAGACATTGGGTGCCATGGGTGAGTGGGATATGGGCTACTATCTCCGGCGCCCACACACGGGGTGCTAGCTGGAGGAGTGGCCACCATGATGCGCCGGTCCATTCGGGGATGACCAATGTTAGCTCAGCGCGTGTGCGTTGGGCGTATCGCAGGGTGGCTGGAATGAGGTGGGGCGGGGGAAATGCGAAGCCGTACTCGTGCTGCCAATTGAGTGAGAAAGCGTCAATCGCTGTTGCCTCAGGGTGGGGGATCTTGGAACAGAAACGCTGCAGCTGGGCATTGCGTACGTTGGCAAAAGATCGATGGAGTGAGGTCCAAGTCGACGATCCAAGAGCCGGAACCAAGGGGTTTGAAGAGAGTAGTCGTCGTAGTTTTGGACTTTCGAGAGCTCATCCGCATGGGCATTCAATTCTCTCGGAATCCATTCGACAGCGAGTCTTGTCCGGTTTTCCAAGCACAGTCTGATGATCGCTTGACATAGCAGCGTGAGTGGGGGGTGGCGTGAGCCGCCCTTACGAAGGATGAACACCACCCCTTGGTTGTCGACGCGAACCAGCACGTGACGATTGACGAGGTGGGTGGTGAATGTCCGGAGTGCCCAAAGGACGCCTTCGAGTTCCTTTCGAGTGTTGGAGGTGGGCACGAGCTCTTTTGGCATGCAATCGCTGGCCTTGATGTGCGTGCCAGGCAGTTGAGTGAGGGTGGCACCCCAGCTGTGGGCACTCGCATCAACATGGATGACAGCGTTGTATTGGTGACTGAGATGGAATGGGGCGTCGTTGAATTGGTCGAAGTGCGAAAGCCAGAAGCGTAGCTCTGTTAATGCGGGCGGAGGTAGTAGGATTTTATCATGCCAAGACGTGGCGTCGGCGATGAGTTGCAGGAGCTCATGACTGAAGGCTCGTGATGTGGTGCCCAATGCTAGGGTCATGGAGGCCAACATGCCAGTGACTCGCGCAAGGGAGCGGATGGGGACTCGTCGTCCTGCTTGGCCCTGGGCAATGATGTCGGTGAGTGTGGCTAGGAGCTGAGCTCGTCGTTCGTGACCGATAGAGAATTTGCCGCGAACTGCGTCGACCTCCAGGCCGAGGAAGTGGATCAGGCGCGTGGGGTGGAGATGCGAGTTTTTCTCGTTGATAACAAAACCAGCCGCCTTTAGGTCTTGGGTAAATGCGGCGCATGCTGAGCGCGCGTGTGTATGAGAGTTGCAAAGGAATAGGAGGTCGTCGACGTACGGGATGACGCGTAGGCCGCTGGCCCTCCACCACTTTGCCAACTGTTTGATTAGCTGGGTGAAAACGAACGGGGCGCTGGCGAGACCAAACGGCAGCGAGCGGAAGGAGTAGTACGCGCGTTGGAAGCCCAAGTACTTCCAAAAGGAGGGGTGCATCTTGACGTCGTGATAGCCGGACTTCAGGTCGATGGAGAACATCCAGTCGCCGGGACGGATGAGTTCGGCTACCCGGTTCAAGCCTTCATACTTGAACTTTGGAATTTCGAGGTGGGCGTTGACTTTGCGAAGGTCGAGAATGAGGCGACATTTGTTACGCTGCTCAACGACATTCAAAGGACTAATGCAGGTCAGCGTATCTCGCGTGGGGACTGGCACGGCAGAGCCAGTGGCAACAAGTTCTTGAATTGCTTCGCGAGTGAAGTCAAGGTGCGTGTGAACGCCGGCATGGTTCTTGTCGTCGAAGGAGGGCGGGGCTGTGTGCTTCCAGGGCAGCCAATAGCCTTTGGCGATAATAGATATTATGAAACTGCTATCGCACCACGAGCACCACCAATGCAGGGCCTGGCGCAGTCGGCTTCGCATGATCGTGACGTCCTTGTCCGTGACGGTGTATTCGTAGGGGTCGTGTCGGTCGAGTGGCCATCCGTGTTCGGGTCCTGCAGCGTTTCGGGTCGAAAGGGGAGAGGGCATTGCAATAAGGTGTTGGTGCCGAATCGAGCAGCCCATGATCGTGTGTTGCCTATCACATGGCTAGGCCAGCGCCTTATCTTAGGAGGCGCTTCCGCGTGTCCTTCCCGATGTGCGTGGTTTCCTCCTCGTGCTCTTTTTTCCTCTCCATCTTACCCCTTCCCTCTCTTTCTCACTCTTTCTCTTACACACGCACTCGCTCTCCTTTTCTTTCTCTCTCCCTCTTTCTCTCTCTCT